GGCTACAGGATTTCATCATGAGCTGTTATCGGTTAGAGAACCATTGGAAAACCAGGTAACTGGCGACTTGCCCTATTCAGGTAGGTAGTTACCTGGGGTTCCAGTGGGAAGTCGTGACCAGTAGGGTGCAGCAGGTCGAGTGTGAGGACAAATACTCGCCGAAGACATTGGCTAGTGGTTGCGCCATATCGTGAATTGGCAGAAGTTAGAATTCATGGGCTGGCCATTGGATCGAGTCCCAGTGACTGCTGAATGGTATACGAGCTAGTTCACCTTGTAACCAGAAGGTCCTGGGTTCGAACCCCGGTGGATGCGTGCTGATGAAGAGTCCCAAACTAGGACGAAACAGCTGTCCAGTACTCCCAAGTTTTCCAATGGTTCTCTAGCCAATGTCAGCTCATGATGAAATCTTGTAATCCGAATTATTAGTCAGGACGTCTAACATTTGAGTTGACATAGTTTATCACACCATGAATGAAAGGGACTTCTTAATTACCCACAGAAGTAACAACTTGTTTTCAACCAGCTGTTCACCAGTGTATATTCTAGTTCATGAATTGTCTGATTTTCTAGTAAGAAGCCATACACTTAACGTAAATGTGGCATTTGATCATTGTCATAGAACATAACCGCACAATGGATAAATTTATTCGATGGAGCATACACTGAGTGCTACAGTATTAATAACTATATGACATTGAGGGGGGAGCACAATTTATTTTTCATAATCATATTCATACGTATTCACATAACTTCATAATTTGCTTTACGCAGGACTGTTAAAAAGACTTGAGTTAAGGTGGAACCGAACAAACTTTGTCTGTTTAAGAACTCAATAAATTCAATTAGGAGAAGAAATATCGTGAAATTAACACTATGTATTGATTATGAAGTTAATTGCACAGATCAATTAGATTACTGGAACACAGGGATTTTGGTCTTAATCTAGGACAACTGTTCGTGAATAAAAGTTCGATCGTTGCAATGTATTCACTTGCATGTAATCACACAATACGTTGAGTTATGGTAAAAGTATTTAAAAAAGTAATACAGTCAGGTGAGAGAAAGAGAGAGGTTAATTACGGAATGTTAGTTCATCGAATCAATACCAAACACGGGGAAAAGAACTGATGCAACATCTATCCCAGATATATGAACAACTTTAATAAGAAAAACAGTAGAGAGCATGGCTATATACAGGAAGTTATGAAGTCGTATGAATACGCTGATTTGATTATGACTGCTAAATTGTGCTTGAAACGTCATCCAATTGTTGTTAATACTGTATTGCAACAACTAAAACTGACTTATTGTGGTATATACGTAGGAAACCAATCTTTTTCTTCTTCTGTGTAGCTGATCGAAACTTCCTTGAGTTACACGCAGTACAAAAATGTTCCTACGATAGTAGAAAGACGGTTATTTGTGATAAAATCTTTTTTACCATTTGACAGTATCATATCGAAAACTCAAAATTACCTTGACAATGCCGTTAGGCAGCTATGCGGATCCGGAACATTCTTAAATACGAAACAAGTACTGTTGAACAAAATTATTTAACCGAAATTCGACCATAAGAACTACCTCAGAATTAGATGGAATATCCTCAACAAGGTGGGATGAAAACTCTGTCCACAAGAATCACCTACTACAATTCCTACAGACAGCCGAAGGTCAGAATCACCTTAACTCAATCAAAACGAAATCACGGTCGTAAACCAACACAACAATATCATCACAAAACCTGAAGGAGAAGTATTAAAATTAGGGGCTTACGGAGAAAGAAGTAAAATAATGGGGACTGAGTTGACAAATAATGTGGAAACGTGAAAACAATGATGTAGAATCAAGGAGAAAAACAATAATAATAACAATGCTGGAATGTCAGAGACTTGCACTGCGCGTCATAAAGAGAATCTCAAACAAACTACAGACCTTCATTAACAGTTGTCTTCGCTCAATACTCAAGATCAGATGGCCAGCCAGAAAAGATCAGCAACAAAGATCTCTGGCAATGAGCGACGGTGGCACAGTGGTTAGGACTCTCGCCGACCATGCACATGGTCCGAGGTTCGATCCCCTGCCGACGCACACCTGATATCTATGGTCGGCCTGAATTTGGGCTACCGATATCAAAGCTGAAAATTCCATACTTGTACTAAAAATACGGTGTGGCATCAAGCTGTAACCAAAAAAAAAACCAACACAGCAGGAATCGATTGTGAAACAAACATGCAGGAAGAAATGGAGATGGATTGGCTGGCCATACTCTGAGGAAACAATCCATCAAGTGACATCACTAGACAAACCATTGCTCGAGTGGAACCCGAAAGGGAATCGGCGAGTTGGTCGTCAGTGCGAGGGTGAGGGTGACTTGGAGGAGGTGATGTGTAGAGGAGATGAAAACGTGTGGGCAGACTTGGAGCCAGCCAGATGAAGACTCTAGGAGAGGACCGAACGCATTGGAGACGCACGGCTGAAGCCCTATGTTCCTCTAGGAATTAAAGGAAACAATAATAATAGTTGGAATGTCTAAATATGCAGGGAGATCGTTCAGGAGGGATTTTCCAAACACTTACTTAGTTAAATGTATCAGTCTGTGTTATATCAAATAAACTGTTGACGAATCTTGCTAAGGACAAAACATACATTTTGAGTTTTCCTTCATTTTCAATGCTACACAATCTGTCAATATAGTAGTACACAGTAGTGCAGTTGTATAAGAATGGCAAGCATTGGAAATATGAATAAAGATATAGGTGAATGGGAAGCACAGTGTATTTCGTTATTTGTGAGATTTTCCGTTAAGTAGTGCCACTACTACTACCGTTAATTACATACATATTTCTTTTCGGCTTATATGTACGGTAGTTAGATATATGAGTGTATGCAGGCCTTGTAGAAAGAAACATACACTACTAGTGTTTTTTCGGTTAGTTCACCTCCTCTCTCTCTCTCTCTCGCTGTGTTCCCATTCCTGTCGCCTTACAATGTTAACTTTGTGAATAATATTTACTGTCAAATGCTTAAAGCATAAATAACAATTACATGCACACATACACACACAGAAAATGGCCTATTATTGGGTGCTTCTTGTCCCTCTTAATATAGGGACTAATATAGTTTTAATAATTAGTTCCTCCGTTTTAAGTCTCTCTCTCAACACTTTCACACTACTCTCTTCTCAAGTGTTAACTGCATTCACTTTCCCCACTCTCTGTATTCCAATCTTTTAAGACAGAATTTACAAGGGATATCTGTCACCCTGCAGTAAATCAATTCCCCGTAAATCTAATTAACAGCACCCACCAAAATTTGATGAAATATATATATACATATCAGTTTTATAGATGAAGGCATCGTATGCTTTACTGCATGGAACTGACTCGTTATTTTGGCAGGAAACAAGTTTACAAACCACTCGTTTCAATGTCTTCATTGTTCTGCTGTATAATGATAAACATGTGATTTTCGAATTTATTAGTTAACTACTTTTTTAAACAACAGTAGTTTGGTAATCTATACGCAAAATATCCCGTGGGTAGTTTATCAGGTCTCTACTCATTTACACTGTCAACAGTATACTCTGAATTTATTTGATTTAATTTTCTATTTTCTCCTGACTGATTTTATATGGCTGAAATGTTCGGTATCTATCACTGTGTTGGCTCCTAATACTGACGCTTCGACGATGTTTGAGGACTGATGTGTTATTATTGGGTGGATTGCAAGTGGCCCATGTGTCTTTGGCGTTTGAAACGACAGATGCAGCCTTCATAGCTCAGAGGCAACGCCATCACTCACTAAGAATTCAAGTATGTTTGGATGAAGAGTTCTAAATGGGACGAAGTGTGCATCCTGGGTCCCAATGCTAGTCACCATACACGAAAATAAATATATTACAAAGCTTGGCTCTTCAAAATTATTTGAAAATATCAAGATATAGCTTAGCTGAAAAGTTCATTGCCTTTTGGTTGAGTAGTTAGTGGTAGTTGTGGATAGATACACCAATATTTTCTCGCACAAACTGTTTTAAATGTCAGTATGGTTTCCTCATGATGAACTCAAAAGCTTCTCATTCGGATAGTGATAAATTGTCAAACATGTGTTGTTACCTAGAGGATTAGTCACACACACATTCAGCTGTTTTAAAAGGACACAGGAAGCAACACTCTCAGATGAAGAAGTATGTTGACTTCTCTGAGGAAATATGCTTTTAGTATCCAATAAATCTGCCATACAGAACACGAATTGCTGTTAGAAATTTCATTTATAAAACATATTGACAGCAGTTGAGTACTTCTGTTCAGAGCAGTTACTAGAAGCAATTGTGGAAAATGTTTTCGATCGGGAAGAGTTCTGCAGACATATAAACCCAATGGCACAAAAGTTAATTAGATTCGCTAAGACTACTGAATTGAACACATATCACTGACTAACTGATTAGTTCAATAGGCACTTTCACTATCATGCAAACTTCCTCATCTCACTTTATGTCCTTTGCATTATAAAGGTCTGTGAACACCTTTCATGGTGTAAGCATATTCTTCCCATCACGGTTTATGCATTATCCTTAATGATCATTTATACTGCCTAATTTGTATTTTCCCTTGAGTGATTCTCAAAGATCAAATTGCTCATCCTCTGTTGACATGACTACTCCTAGTATGGACGCGTCCATGATATCTGAGAAATAAAGTAAGGTTACTATGCTTGATCTTGAGTAACAGTAGAATCCAGGTAGTGCATTTCGTCCTGCCTATAACTCACCAGTTGGATTTGGGAACATCATCACTTACTGACTGGGTGGAATTTCGGTACATCCAAAGGATGAGTCCTAAATAGGACGAAATGCGCATGCTCGATTCCATCGGTAGTCGTCATCAAGAGGAATAACAGTGATCATTATTATTATTATTATTCATGAAGAAGATGCGAAAGTGTTTTTTTTACTTTTTCGCCAAGCTTTTCATTGATTTGTTTTGCCTTTTCTTTTTCAGCTAACCCTGCAATGCCGCCATTTTTCCCGCTTCAAACTGGGTAAGATAAACAGTTAAAAACAATAAATTTCGATTGTGAAATATCATTAGATTCATACTTATTTCAATTAGAGTGTTCACCTTACTTAAGCACTATCTACTAACTAAACGACGACTACATCTCTGTATTACCCTAGTGAAACAGGAGGACCAACTTTTTATTGTCGTTCACGAATAGTCCTTTAAAGTGACTCTAAAACTGTTTCAAACTTTAAAGCCTAGCCTTTCCACCCTACTGATACTTCAGAGATTTCATATATGCCAAATGACCTGTTCAAAGACTAAAATCCTATACTTCTGTGAAATCGTATTTCGAGGGTGACCGATGAAAATTTGAAATTTCATACACAAACTTTCTTTAATAAATTTGAACAAAGCAATGAAAACAACAGGCATAGATCCGGGTTAGATACAAGGGACTCCCTTCATTTTGCTGGTTTGTTTCTTGTCAAGTGATGACAACCTGAAAAATGATAATTATTATTATTTCAAGTATTGGTTTTGTAGGGATTTTGTTTGATTGGATGGAGGATTTCCTCATGAGCTGACGTCAGTAGGATTGAGCAAGTTGAAGGTGAGGCTAAAACTCATCAAAGAAGACACTGCGAAGTGGTGGCTCTATGTCGTGAATTGGCAGAAGTTAGAATTCATGGGCTGGCCATTGAATCGAGTCCCAGTGACTGCTGAATGGGTTACGAGCTCACCACATTGTAACCAGAAAGTCCTGGGTTGGAACCCTGGTGGTGGGTGCGTACTAATAAAGAGTCCCAAACTGGGCTGATGAAACAGCTTTCCAGTACTCCCAGTTGGTTTTCCAGTGGTTCTCTAACCGATGTCAGCTCATCATGAATTCCTCCATCCAATTATTATTTCCTCCGGTTTCAAGTGGAACATATTGCTCCACTAGCTCACCTCCATTTCACCCTGTTCTCTGAAGTCCTCTTTATCTGGTTTCACAATTGTCCATAATCTTTGGTTCCCTGCTCAAATTATCTTTCCCATATCACCTTCTGACTTACACCCAACTAGTTGTTTCCTACTCACATTTTACTCTACGACCTAGAGTGTCATGTCACTCACTGGTCTAATCAGCATATTTTCAAACCGTCTCCATTTCCTTCAATCATATTTGTTGGGCAATCGGTCCTACAACCTGAATAATACTCAAAGTTAATAGTTTTATCACAACGTTAATGTGCTTCATTTCATAGGAGTAGCACGTTGACGATATAAGATACCTGTAAACAACCAAGTATGAGCTAGTGCGACTAACATACGAGTGTAAAGAAAGCGTATCTGATATGGTAGGCCATATATATACGAGTATAAAATCATAAAATTGCAAATGTATATGTTTAACTTTGAAACCTAATCATTAGAGGTGACTATCAAGTAACATTTTGTGCTATAGACCAGCAAGAGCTCTGAATCCATTCAAATCAATAACTGATAAAAATGTTTACAGTTTATAATTCAGTATCATATATATATGACTTATATCATTACGTAAACATAACGACGAACTATGTCACCTCGTTTTCACTATGACCCAAGCAAAGCCATCGGAGAAATAAATGTCGAGCAATAATTAAGAAAGCTCACGGTATATAGATGAATCGAAATGTCAAGTTGGTAGGGTTTAATGAAACTGCAGTAACCATATATGTAATACATTTGAAGATTCTCTAAAATAACAAGTGGAGGGAAGCTTAGCCAGAATAATGTTTGTAGTGTATAAATTATAAAATTAGGTTAACTATTATTATTCTTCCCTCGCGTTTCGAGTGGAACATAGGGCTTCAGCAAGACATCTGCACTTTCTTTGATTTTCTGCTATCATCTTCAGCTGGGTCCACGATTGCCCATAATCCCTCATCTCCTCCTCCCCAACACACGATCTTCTCCACGTCACCCTAGTATGACCCACTCGTCGCTTCCCATTCGGATTCCACTAGAGCCTTGGCCTGCATTGAGTGCGATGTCATTTGACAGTCTCCTCAACAAATGCTCAGTCCATATCCATTTTCCTCCATATATTTGTTGGGCAGTTGACTCTTGGCTGGCTTGTTGCCAGAGTTTCTTGTTGCTTATTCTTCCTGACCATTTGGTCTTCAGTATGCAGCCAGAGAAGGCAGCTGTTGATAAAAGTCTTCAGTCTGTTGGAAATCCTTTTCGTGACACACTGGCCAAGTTTCTGACCCGTATAGAAGAACCGACTCCACATTGGTGTTGAAAATGCTAATCTTGTTCGTTATGTTGAGTGAAGCAGAAGATTTTCAAACTGGTTTTAGGTTGATGAAGGCGTATCTTTCCTTTCCAATTCTGGCTGGCTTCGATATTTTCATCCGTTCCAACTGCCTGTGGTTGAAGCGATCCTTCCTAGATAAGTGAAGGAAGTGATATCTTCCAAATCTCTCCCGTTGATAGTGATTGGTGCTGGTTATTTTTGATGTTGTTGGTGGTTGGTTATCTTCATCACCTCCGTCTTCTCTATGTTCACCTGCAGTACTGTCTTCCTTGGCTGTTTCTTTAGCCAGTTTGTTGGCTCTCCTTTGTAAATATTCGAGTTTGTGTGACATTAGACATATATCATTTACACGCGAAATCCAGATCTTCCAAAGTCTTCTTATCGATGGTCCAGTGTATTCCTGACTCCTCGCTCCCCACAGTCTGACGCATAATTCAGTCCATCACAATTATGATTATCACCGTTAATAATAGGCTGACAGCCTTGTCTTACTACTGTATTCACTTCAAATGCCTCTCTGAGTTTTCTGTTGTGGATCACGTGACACGTAGCAGTGTCATATAGCCAGCTGTTGAATGAGGTTGATAAAGATTTGTACACTGCACGCCACAGTACTGTAGCAGTCTCGAAATCACTTATGAGTCAACGCTTTCGAAGTCGATGAATCTGACGGAGAGGTTTGATTGACATTCTCTGCTTTGTTTGATGACAATTTGTAGAGTTGCAATTTGATCAACACTTGATTTGCCTTTCCTGAATCCATCTGGTTCCGTCTGGCAGAGTTCTGTATCCAGTGTATCTTTGATTCTCTCCAGGGTTATGCGACTTAGAAGAGCTAGGTTACCAAGGTTTTAAGTGGTTGGTAAGAGACGAAGACGAAATAAAATGTGTTTGTGTTATCCTGCTTTGTGTGTTGTGTCTGTCATTGTTTCCCTCATAATTTCCGAACTCTGCTCTCTAGGTTAGCTGTCCAGATTTCGTAGCCAAGGGCATATATATATATATATACTAGCCTTGGGTTTCTAGCAGGACATCGCCATTTCTCTGTAGTCCATTTAAGCAGGCTCCACGATTGCCCATAAACTTTTATTCCCTCCTCACACAATCTTCTCGATGTCACCCGCTCAACTCATCCTCTGTCATTTTCCTTCTACTCAAGGTTTTGGCGCATGATGTCAATCGACGGCCTTATCCATTTTCTCCTGCATATTTGTTGAGCTTTAGGTACTCGTGACTAGTTCACTTCTTGAGTTCTGTGATCATAATCCATTCTAACCACCCGATCTTCAGTTTTGACTGAAGACAGCTGCTAACAAAAGTTTTCAGCTTGTTGGAAAGGTCTTCTATGACACTCACGCCTAGCCTCTCAGCCGTACGGATATATGTATATATTGCTTGCCATGAAGATTTATCTACTGTCAGACTGTGCTTAACTTCTTTGTTTACTACTTAAGACTGCCTTCACCATGAATAAATTGAGGCTATCAATTCAAATCAATAAATCAATAAAGAATGTTACATTAATGAATGAAATTTAAGAAGCACTTTTGTGATTTTAAACTCAACAATCAATCAACTTGCATTTTTGATGTATTACTTTTGTTATGCTACACTTGTGAGTGGCTTTGAATTACAAAACTTAAGTGTCCTTATTGTAGTCTTCAGTAGACACCCACGCCTAAATAAAGACTCATATAATTAGGAGTTATGCAGTAATACTCTCAAAACTCCGCTTACAATCTGCGATTTATTCTTAGAAATCTTACTGTACTGATGTTGGTTCTTAATAGTTGAATAGTCATGAGCTGGGAAATACTTTCCACGAAATATATCCCATGGACCTAGAGAATGAGTTAAAGGAATACATGATGATGCAAAATTACATCAGATTTACCAGGCAGGATCTTCCGTCTGTCTGCCTGTTACTGATAAATTCTCCGGCGATATGTTGACCACCAAACTGTGTGTGTCTATTCAAAATAAATGAACATCACTGATCGTCAAAACCTTATTCATCCCGATAGTATTAGACGAACTCTGGAGGTAAAATTAAGATTAGTCCGTATACGTTAGATGTGGATCACACTTTCACACTGTTAAAAACAGAACATATCTCTAGCTTCTTGACACACATAAACTCACTAGTGGAGGGAATAAAATTCACATTTGAATCGGAAAATGAACAAGGAGAATTAGCTATGTTAGACTGTAAAATAAAACGTTTACAAAAAACAACTCATTCTAAAAGATATTTAAACTTTAATTCATCTCATCCTTTAACTGTTAAGGCAGACTTAGCTAAGTGTTTAACAAACCGAGCAATGGCACTAAGTTGCACAAAAAAGAACTAAATGATGAAATAAAACAGAAAGAAGAGGCGTTGGTGTTAAATAACTATCCTATAAAATTCATTAGGAAGATTGAAAAAGGCCAAAAGAAAAAGAATTGTGAAACTAGTAATAATAACATAAATAAGAGAGAATATAAGTCATCTACAGTTACACCATATAAAGAGGGGACATCTGAGGCCCTACGTAGGATTCTAAATAAAGCAGGAATTAGGGTGGCATTTAAACCCACAAACTCACTCAGGGACAAGCTCTGTAGATTAAAGGACCCAGTGGACCCAATTAGACAAAAAAATAATATAATTTACAAAATACCCTGCAATGACTGTGAGGTCAACTACATAGGTCAAACTAGTAGGTCAGGGGTAGTCAGATTGTCAGAACATAAGAATTTAGCTCAGGTAA